TGTACCGTGACTCCCCGCCCTCCAGCCTGCATATACTCACACTCACCTTAAGGTAACAGTGGCACTCCTGTACCGTGACTTCCTGCCCTCCAGCCTGCATACACTCACACTCACCTTAAGGTAACAGTGGCACTCCTGTACCGTGACTTCCCGCCCTCCACCCTGCATATACTCACACTCACCTTAAGGTAACAGTGGCACTCCTGTACCGTGACTTCCTGCCCTCCAGCCTGCATATACTCACACTCACCTTAAGGTAACAGTGTCGCTCCTGTGGCGTGAATTCCCGCCCTCCTCCCTGCAGCTCGGCATGCGACTGCGCGCACAGGCGCATCAGGCGACCAAGGTTTGCATTCACCAGCCCAACGTTGACACTGTCACCGATCTTATCGAATGCCTCTATGCCGCAGGACAGACGTGCTCCCGACTTCTTCCACAGCTCTTCCAAGCAGCGCAGGACGGGTTCGTTTGCTAGGCGATGAAAAATTGCTGTTTTTTTTCATGCTGGCATGCGGAGCGCTGTAGAGGCATTTGACAGGTCAAACAGAAGTTTTCAGATGTTATGGATCAGATGGGTAGTACACAGTGCTTATGTTTGTTGTTGTATGAGGGTTTATACTGATTATAATGATTATACTAATATAAATTGTATCGTATACAAATTATGGCTTCTACACACTACCAGAGGAAGATCCCATAAAACTATACATAAATTATACAATTAAACTGCCTTGTAATTTGAAGATGAGTAAAGGAGCTCGATATGTTTTTCCCTATGTTTATTCTAACATGTTTCCAGTTTTTACAAGATCACGGTCATTGCCATGCCATGTAAAGTGTTACATTCTACGCACTCTGTATGACAACACAAACCGGTAACACTAAAGCCATACGCAGATTTCAGATATAAAACTGCGATCATTAAAGAGACTTGAGCTTGTTATACGTACCTGTGTCATTGATCATTGACATAGCGGTGTTCATGTAGAACACACCGAGCTCGTTGCTTGAATTGCCGAGGCGTTTGTAGATGTTGCCTTCTTCGGTTTTGCTGCGAAGGCCTGACAGTGCCACCTGGTAGCATTCGATGCTAACGAGTATGTTACGCTCTAGGTTCGACTCAAATCCGTACGCCCAGCGAAACGCTGCAATGACCAATACAAATCACTCATTACCATGTTAGCAGATTTATATTCTGTATGACAGCAACAATGATAGATCCACAAAGTAAAACATCTAGGGCATTAACCTGCCCAAAGCATCATAAGACTCAAATTCCATGTCACTCCTAGTCAAATAACGCTTTCACGTTTTACTATTGCTATCACAATAATAATGATTGAGGGAAACACAGACAGAACTATCAAATCCAGATGACTTTCTATAGCATTCAACACCAGAAGATTTTATTTACTTCATAAACAAGGACCAGTGACAGTGGAGTCTATAGCTGCGTTCACACGAGGATTTCGGTTCCGTACTTGAGCGTTCACACGCTAAAATATATGCGGCTTATTCAGTACCGTACTGAAATACGCGGCTTTCTTGGCGCAGAATCACATTCCGCGCCAAGTAAGCCGCGTATATTCGGCACCACGCTGGCCGCGTATTGTCTGTCGTGTGAACGTATTCGAATTGCGAAACTGTAGCGCGCTTACCTAGACTGGTACCCGTTTGCTACATGACGTTAGTATAGCGTGTGGAACTGTCAACCGGGTACCAGTCTATATTATACCTAGCCAGCTAAGCCTCGAATCTCGTGTATCTCGTGGGAACGCTCCGGGTTGTGTTAGCGCGCTATTTCAGCCGAACTCAGCGCCAGCTAAGTACGGAACCAGCGAAGCCGTGTATCTCGTGTGAACGCAGCTTATATACCATGTTTATGAACATGTCTATATACTGTATATATATGTACTACACATTGCATACATGCCACACACTGACCACCCTACTGCCCTATCGTTATGAGAACACAGATTATTTGCACCCTCAGTATTTAACTCACATGTCGTTACTTGAAAACTGGGACACCGAGCCACTTATTTCGCTGCAAGCTTCAGTGGCTAATCGAATTTTTTTCTGATATAACAGCAGTTGAAGACAAGGGTAATTAAGCAAGACACGCGACTTGGTTCACAGTCAAGCAAAATTACAGCCACACTGCCATGCACAAACAGAGAAATGCCATGCAGGTCACCCC